GTCATTATTGGATTATTTCCCAATAAGTGCCATCCAAATTTCTCCATGCACTGCTGAGCAACGTGCCAGCCTGTTCTAGAGCCCTAGTACATGCTCAGTACCTTTCATTGGTAGCGACTGGTTTGTTCAGTCCACTCCTTTGTAAAACTCCAGACATTGACTAAAAACAGAGTCTTTTGTGCTTTTCATAATTAGGAGAGCATGGGGTTTTTTCCATATAAAAAGAGCATACATTGGATTGTCTGTTCTTCAATCATCTCAGATACTGGCATGGACTCTATTCATATAAACCATGTCTTTTTAAATCAGGAAGGCATCCCAGCAAGCATTAAATAATCCCCCAAAGTATCTTTAATGGACATAATGTGTTAACACAAACATATGAAATTAAATCATCATAAGCCAGGCCTGTATCTTTTGGAATGCTTTATACAATAATGCTTTATACAATTGTGTGATAGGATTTTTGATACATTCAAATGATAGCAGGAAAGAAATGTGCTTTCCATTTGGTTTGAGGACCGAGTGATATACATGCGCTTTATCAGCTGACCTCAATTAAATTCCTAGGCTTCTCTGAACCTCAGTTTCCTTTCTGATACACTTTGGATTGTAATACCTGCCCACAATTACATTTCTCAGGGAATCAAATTGGATAATATTGGAGAATGCATTTCATAAAACATAATAATAATTTAATGAACGCTTACCATCATCATAATCTTATTTCCAAGCAGGTATTTTTGATTCTAATACAATTTTCTCTTAGATATCTTTCTTATAATTCAACTGATATATCTCTGCAAACTAACAATAGAAGTTGACATATTAGCCTAAAGTTGAAAACCTGGAGTTTAATTCTCCAAAGTGCTTGTTGAGATCGTAGTTATTTTGAACAGAATAACGTTAGAAAAAAATCGCTGTTTTCTGTTACTTATTAATTTTATGTTTCCCCAGTTTTATTAAAGTAAAATTGACAAATAAAACGTACCTATAATAACCAATGAGATTTTTTATCTATTTATTTGTGTGAATGTTACATATTATTGTACACAGCACATTCCCCACGGTCTAAATTTTTCTTCCTTCTTCATTAATGGTGGGCACTGGGAGTCTATTACGGAATGTACGAGTCACTGGGCTGGCAGAACCTTGTTGCGGATACACGTGCCCTGTGTGTTACCTCCTCATAGACCTTGCCAGGTAGTCAGTTCAGCGAAGGAGAGGTGGTAAATCCTTGAGGTTTTTCCCCTCCTCCTGCTGCTGCTTTTGCAGCTGCTCCTCCTCCTCCTCTTCTTCCTTCCCTTCCCCTTCTTCTTCATCTGTCTCCCTTTATTTTTATCCAAGTTTTTCCTTGCTTTCTTTTGATGGTCCAAAGGCTCAATATTCAATTTTATTGAACAATATGGGATTTTTCTACCATTATTTTGTATCACCTATAAAGAAGCTTTGGATCAGGGCAACTCTACACAGTTGAGTCTTGCCCACAGCAAATGCTTACCATTTTGTAGATACTCATCTCTCTCCATCCAGGTTTTCCTTTACTCTAGATAATTAAATGAAATCCATTTCTAGAAGATGAGATATGGTGATAATTGTCTATTTTCAAGATGCTCAGAGAGAGGAAATAATTTTATTGTCTATTTAGACAACATACAATATGCTCTAAAGTTTACTCAGCTGGTACAGCATTTTGACATTTGCCCCATGAAGACTGAGCTCTTATGTGCCAGGCAGGTGCTGGCACCAAAGCCAAATATCAGGAAGAGCAAATGCCACCCTTAGGGTGCATAGTTAAAGAAGCCCTCACAAAGCACTCAGAGTGTCTCTCCTTGGGCTTTGTACCCAGACACTTTACTCTCCTCACCTTAACTCAGCCTGTGTAGCTTTGACATGTAACAAAGAAAAGACAAGGTGTGAACCTCAAGACGTCACACAGGGAGGAAGAGACACTCAGTGAACGTCATCTATGTAAAGAAGAAGGAGAAGTAACGGGAATACACAGACTATACTCGGGGAAAGGACAGTATAGACTAACTTCATGTGAGGCAGAGTGTTACGGAAACTAACTGAAAGATTATGTGGGATCTTCAAGGGTTTGAAATAAAATGGAGAAAATTGGGAGAGCGAAGGTCACTTTAAGTTAAAAATACTCTGAGCTGAGTGACACAGGACAACTGCTGGGAGGGGGTGTAGTGTTTTAGGCTAACTTTGATGCTGGCATCAAGAGGTAAATCATAACTCTTTCAAAACCAGTCCGCACCACATCAGGGGAGCCACCACCCAGCTGGTTCTGTGGATTCGGGTCCTGTCGCTGCATTGTGAAGCATTTTTCAACAAAAGTAAAAGTCTGCACCATCGTATCTTCCTCAAAACATTATCTTGAACCTCTGAAAATTATGCCTCTGCTTGTTGTTAATGAGAAAATAGAAACATGAGGGAACAATGTTAGCTTTTCTTTATTAAAAAATACAAGAGGAAAAAAAACAACACTGTGTTTATTATTGTGGATATTTCCAAAGAGGTAACTAAAATTTTATGGAGGCCTTGGTAGTAACTCTATAAATCACTTGACAGCATCTCTGTTTTAAAATCTCTTCTGCATATAAGCAGTAAAATGAAGCACACATTGGAAATTCTGATGATTTCAAACTTTAGACTTTCTTTTAAAGTAATAACTTTAATTCAGTTCTTTCTGGCATAAACTTTTTCATCCCATTATGTCAAAAATTGTATTATCCATCCATTTGTCTGTCAGAACGTCTCCCTGTGGAGCGATAGACTCCTGGATTCTCTATTCTAAACCTCCCCATTACATCCTGCTATCAAGAGTCACAATTTTCCACGAAAGTCTCTGGTGACTTTTGACAATGTTTTACAGAGAACTAGACCAGGAATTGCAGAGTTAAAGGAAATCTTCCATTCTAGCAATGAATATGTAATAGGCATTACACTGTGCAGTATTCCAAAAAATGTAAGGTTCATTAAGTCTTTCTAAAGCAGGGACTTCCGTGTAGCTTTGAAAGAACCTGTCTTCATAATGGCATTAGCAAATGGCACTTTGGGGCAGTGAATATTAATATTGCACATTAAGGACCAGATTTGTTTAAATGCTGTATAGCTATATGTAGATGCCGATGATCCAAAAATAAATAAAACGTGAATTGTTGTCCAACTTTATATGTAAATTGCCTTTTGCTTATATACATAGGAATGCTTTTGGCTCCTAAATTCCTTCATATTAGCAAGCAAGAGTGTAACTAATATATAAACTAAAGTCATTCTCTGTAATGAGAATGCTAAATATTTTAAAGAAATGCGAGGCTGTGAAATATTGTCAAGGGCATTTTTATACTTAAGTTTAAGAACGCTTATGACTTAACTGTTGAATTATTTAACGTATTCAGCCTGGAAGCACTGTTTATGTATGTTTTTTAATGTTCTTACTTATGTTGGCTTTTCTTTCCTAAGGATTTAGGATCTTTGATTTCTGTTTATAAAATTTACATTTTTAATCTCCTATTTTTGTACATTTCCCATTTGACAGTGGCAACAATATCCAAAAGAAAGGCAAAAAAGGAAAAAATCTCACGGAGCTGGAAACAAGGGCTGCGTGTGAGAGAAACTTAAGTTACGTCGCTTAGGGAGTGAAGTCAACTTTAAAGGCCAAAGATGAAAGTCTTGTTCAATGAAATACCCGTGTAAGGAAAATAATTGATACGAAAGTGTGCACCTGGTTTCCAAACCTCTCCCCAGAAAGCATGAAACGGACAGGGAACCACGTCGTACTGTGCAATCAGGGAATTCCAAGCAATCAGCATTTGCTGCTTTGAGTTGTCAGGTCCTATTTTTCACTTGTGTATTGTTTTGCAATTATGGCCCAACCCCAGCTTTATCAGAGCAACCTAAAAACACACTTTCGCTCATTTTTCTTCAATTAACCTTGATTTATATTTCTTAAATGTGGAAGGATTCTTCCAGTATTCAGGAAAGATTCCGAGTGGAACCCCATCAGTGCCGTTCAGGAAATGAAAAGTGACAATCAAAAGTAGTGTGAGGGTAAGTTTTATTTGAGGGATTCTCATTAAATTCTACTCATATGGTTAATAATATAAAAATTGTCCAGGTGACTTGAGACGGAAACGTAGCCAGAATTTACTGGAAGTATTTGTTATTCCATAAGGGCTGCATTTGGAGGAAAGAATAGACAGTATTTTAGATTGGTATGTTTTGATCTACCAGTATTTTACTTTACAGAAACGCACAGATTTATATAAGCATGTATGTTATATATGTTACATACATACATACTAACATCACTAATATTACTAATTATACTGATCCAAAATTTTTCTTCTGTATTAACTCTAAAGCACAGTAATGAGGTCTCCAAGGAATAGGGGCTCAGTCATGAGGTGGAGAGGAAACACTGAAGGTTTCCGAGGCTTTTTTAAACTTTCAAAGGTTTTGGACATTGATCTCTACTTTCATTTATTCCAAATTCCCTAACATGAGTTCCAACAGCTTTATCCTATTTATTTTTAAAAAGTATACACTGATTATATGATCTTGGAAAGGCTGAGTTAAACAAAATTAGGAAGATTTTTTTGGAGCCTTAAATGATTATCCTTTGTGAATCCACAAAACAGAGGGTAACAGCTATCGTTTTATAAATATTTTGACCACAGTCTTTTACATTTTTTCCCCTTTTCAATGTGTCTCCGGGCAAGTGTTCTACAGAAACACCTTGGGAAGCACGGATTTTGTCAATAGAAGTTTTCTGAATCCAGCCTATGGATGAGTTCTGTACTTACAGTTCATCATGCCTAAGAAATAAGCTTCATTATCTATCACATTGTAGGAAGACATTGTAGGAAAAAGCCTCGCCAAATTGATGTTTACGTCTCTAATTGTTACAGTGTGTAGCATACATAGGCTCAATAAACAGGTTTTGAATGAATAAAAAAATAAATAAAACAACTTAATGACACACCTATGTCTTATTTGTTCAGGTGATATAAATTTTATTTCCTCTTCTATGGAAATATTAATACGATATTGTGTTTCTTTAAGTTTCATTGTGACCTGGTCCCTTTAAAATTCTCTTCCAGGAAAGAACCTAAAAGAGAAGTAATTTAATTGCATTAAAGATTTAAAAGATCAAAATTCATTAGCTTGTATATAATAAACAGGCCAGTGTTTCACTACTACCGGCAGCAGGATAGATTTGCACTGTTAATAACTCTTTTTCTCCATTCTTCACTCACCTCCCAAACACTGTGCACACACAGACTCACACATAGACTCACACACACACACACACACACACACACACACACACGCACGCGCCATCAATTCCATCACAGAATGGCATAAACAGGGTCTCACTAAGGCTTGAAATTTTATAATTCACTGAAATATAGATTTATTCTGTGCAAAGCTAACTAGTCTTAAAAGGACTGTATGCATTGATTGGATCAGATACCGTCACCAGTCTAAAATTGGCATTCTCAATCATTTTTGAAGTCCCAAGACATACCTTTTTCTTTCGTAGCTATGTGATATATGCCTATGAAATATATCAACTTAAGTTAGCTGTGTTTGGGGAATACTTTGAGAATTTTGAGGTAGCCTGAGATATTAATGCATGATTAAAGTCACTAGCTACAAACAATGGGCAGGAAGATATGTAAGTGAATGGAGCTGCTTCTTTGTATGTATTTCACTTTTCCCTCAAACGTGGGAAGACACCTCTTAAATATGAAGTGCCCTATCGACTTGACCCTGCCTCCAAAATTCCATTTCTGAAAAAAAAAAAAAAAAGGATTAGCAAGCATTAAAAATTCATTGACTCCTTCAAAATCTACACAGGAAGAAAATGGCACTCCAGTTTCATTTGACTGTAAAGAGCAATTTGGACACACAGATTCAGTGAGTGAGACATGTAAACAGGTACAGGTACTTCCAGTTCTCCATAGCACAGAATGTGCCCCGTGAAACCAGTACATAGCAAGCAGATTAGATAATTTACCTAGAATGGGTTTGCAGTCAAGCACCAAAGTTCCAGAGGGTTCATCAAGGCTAGAATGATCAGGCAGGTATTTGTCTCAAGGTGGGCCCAACATTGTGCATAAGAGATTAACTAAGGCATGAAAAATGTCCTAATTAGTTGCACTCCAGAATTTGAAAACTCAAAGAAAATCTAACTAACAGTTATTGCAGAGTTGCCAAGGTGAGTTCTGAAACTACAACAGAAATTTTCTTTTCCTGCCTCTATACTGTAATCAAATTGAGAGAGAACACGGTCTCAGCCATTTAGGTCTCCCACTAAGCAACCCAGCATCTGACCATGGTGATAGCTCAATAAATGTTAGAGAACTGGATTAATTTTGTCAGTGTTGTTATCATTTAATTTTTCATCCTGATATTGATTATGGCACAGGTGGAAATCTATAATTACCTGTGACCATTGGGCTACTCCAGGTAAAGAAAAATCTCTGTATTCATATACTACTAAATAGAAAGTTGTAATGACACTCATGAAAGTAAACTTACGGGTCCTGCAATAACTTCCTTTTCTTGACTGCTCTTATCATCTGGGATCTGTTGTTATGACAACTCATGATTTTTTTCAATAATCCAAAATTCTCTATTAACCAGTCTATTCAATCTATCTATAGGCCAATGGTATTCATAAGGATGGTACTAATATAACTTGAGATCTCAAGTTTTGCAACTGAGATGTAATCAGAATAACCTTGGTTTGCTTATAGTAGTAAGTGCTTTCTTAACAGTACTAGGATTAACTGGTGGTGAGATGACTAGGATAACCAAACATTATAAACTGCTTAGTCAGTAGCTGTCTTAGTTACTTTTTACTCGTTGCTAAGACAAAATACCTGAAGCCCAAAGTTGGGAAAAGAAAGGTTTATTTCTTACAGTTTTTGGAGGTTTCAGTTGGCTCCAAGACAGGCAGGCATGGCTGGACCACTGTTCATGGCAGCTGCAAACGGCAAGATCAAACCAGCAAAGACAGAGACACACCTTCTTTCTGCCATTACATCACATCCTGGCTCCACCGCTATGTGGGTGGAGCACTGACACAATCAACCCAAGCACTAGACAATGAACAAATAACAAATGACAATTCAAACTCTTGAGGGCTGGGGGACACAGACATAAAGCATGACAGTAGCTTTAAGCAATTATTCAGATAATTTCCAGAAGCAATTAACAAAAAGTTGCAACTAGGTAGACACCAGACATGACCAAATATCCAAAGCTAAGTAGGAATAATAGAAAGTTTTTGTTAGTTGCAGAGCCTGGCAGCCAACAAAAGACAAACAAGAACTGATTGTAGTCTCATGTCAGGAATATAACATGGAGCATTAGGGTGCCCTGGTGGTTAGCCTAGCAAGCATGCAAAACACAGTGATTCTAGCAGTAATCCATAAAACTTGATCCACAGAAGTAAATCACTGTTAAGAGAAAAATTCTATAATAAGAAATGAAAATGAGACATCAGAAAAGTCAATGTAAGCAATTAAATTTAGGTTGGCAAAAACATTAAGTTATTCAGCTTTTAAGGGCAAAACTATAAAACGACTGTTAATAAGCTAATGAATGATTCGAGGGACAGAGTAAGTAAAAATAACAAAGGGGCACTTGGAGATTTTGGGAGGTAGAAAATGAATTCATTATCAGGTTTATGACGATCCTACCATGAATATATAAGTATTTCAAAACTTATGAAATTGCATACTTTGATCACATGGTATTATTGCTAACCAATTAAATATTAATGAAACTTTTTGAGTGGGACCTCTAGTCCTGGATTTTTGAGGAATCTCCACATTAATTTCTATGGTGATTGTACCAGTCTGATAAAACTTTTTGAAGAAATGAACTTCAAAAATAAAAATAAAGCTTGCTCCATGCCTAGACTAGTGTTCAAGGCCTAAGTACAACAAACAACCAAGCTAAAGATGCTGAACTGTTCGCTTGAGACTTAGCCATTTTTGCTCCTGTGGTGAAGTGGAGGAAGGTGCAGCCACAGAGATCTGAACAACTTGCTGGAATGAGCACTATCTTGCCTCTTGTAGTTGAGGAGTTCCAGAAGAGCTGCGCCATGCAGGAGACATGCTGAGGGGTGCACCTACCCTGGGAGGACCCCATAACTGACCTTGGTCTTCTCTCACAGAAAAGCATTCATCCCCTCGCTGTGATTACCTGATGGATGCAGATAATGTGGTTCTGGATCTGTGGATTATCTAGTCTGTAAACTGATCATCTCTGAAACATAATCTGTCAGCACCTCTAGAAGAGCCCCTATCTCCTCAGTAGACAGGTGAAAGTCAAACCCAGAAGTCTCATATGTAAAACACATGGGTTCATTTATTTACTTAGAATGAGAACACTGTCCTTATTTAAACAAAATGGATCTGGTTGCCCAGGTTCTTTGCTCCCAAGAATAGAGCCTTACAGTAGGTTAAAAACTCCTATATCGTTTATAAAAATTTTCAGAACACAATTGAAGACTAGGAGTTTCTTGGACCAGTAACCAAAATTATTGTGCCAGAAGCCTGAGAAAATTAAGGCTACTTAGAAGAATCTCTGATGCTTTTATTCATAATGGGATGGAAAGACTCAAAAAGACAGTACAGGCAAATATTTTGGACTCCCTAATTTCCTTGGCCAAGAATATCAAATTGTCCACTTTCTAGGAGAGGTAGTCCTCAGTGAACAAAGCAGTTGTGTACCTAGAGCAACAATGAGGTGGCTTACCTGGAAGTGGGCTCTCTGTGACCTCAGTGCTGAATCTCTTGGGGGAAGAACCTGAAGACTTTCTGCAAAGTATGTGAAAGGGGAAATAATATGTTTCTTTTAATCCTTTGCTGAGATAGATACAGGCCTTATAATACCATACATTCATATCTTCTCATTATACAGAGTTAAAGTTCCTCCTCAAATTAATATATCAAAATATTAATATCAAAAGAGCAATCAGAGATTCAGATAAGGGTTTGTATCTATTACGTTCTTCTCTCTGTAATGCTTGTACTTTGGAAAGGTCAAGCGTTCAGAATACCTTAGTTGAAATGTTTGATGACCATCAATCTTTCAATCTTCTTTATTTCTCTTAGGAAGTGAAAGTGGTCCAGAATTCCATTGAAAGAGTAGACCTAAGGTCTGGCATAAAATTTATTGTCATATGGACCTTGAGTCTGCCATTGTCCACAAAAGGAAGGGCCAGGCCACATGCTGAAATCTGGCGCTTACACATATGTGAGGCAGTTAATTGCTTGGACAATTTGTTCTTTTTGGCTCTGGTGAAGAAGTTGGGAAATAAGGAAACACAGTAATCTACAAGTCAGGGAACGAGAGTTGCAATAATTCAAAGGGTAACCAAATTTATAAAAAAAGTCTAAAGACTGTAACTTAGAGTAATAAGGAATCTAGTAATTTATAATTTTTTTTATTTTAATATATATATATATATATATATATATATATATATATATTGAATTACTGCATAAAATCACATTATAATGGAACTGACCAGGTGGAAGAAGATACCCAGGTCCCTGAAAAGAAGCAAATTGAAATGTCTGCTCATACATGTTAGAAATGTAAAGTTTTTCCCAGGTTCCCACACTGGGCCAGCAGCAGGAAGAAGATGAGAAATTTCTCCTAAACTACAGTCTAGGACATTACCTTTTTCCAAAACATGATCATGAGTGTGGAAGAGTCCCAGTGGCTACCTTCTCGTCACAATAGCCAAGTAGTAGCAATTCGTCATACAGAATCAGTAGTAAAAATAGCAGCCATCCCACCACTAGAAGCTACAGCAGAATCTACTGAGATCCACACATTATATCAAGGTTACACATGATATGATTTCCTACTCTGATCAGTGATTTCAGGTGATTAAGGAAAGATACCATTATCTTCATTTTAAAGAAAAGGAAAGGGGTTCAAAACGTCAACTGATGGACCTGCTTAAGGTTATCTGTACTAAGTAGCAAAACTGGGTCATCATGTCTCAAAGCCTGTACTTTTTCTTTGCTCCATCATGCTGTCTATTTTGAATGGCCAACTTTTCACAACTTCCTTCCTTTCCCCCACCAATAGGAATGAAAATGTAGTTCATCAGAGAAAGTAACAGTTCTGCTTGGCATTCCATTAACAATTTGAATAGATCCAGTGAGAAAATCTGTGAACGCACTGGTCTCCAAAAGTCATCTACAGTGACGGTAAACATTTTAATTTAGCTTATAATATATAAAAGCAGATCATCTGCCAGTCTCCAATCTAAACTTCAGTTTGCCTTTGAAGCTCATTTAAACCACACCCAGATTACATTCACTCCAGTTTCTAATCTGCTCTTTAAAGTGGAGTAAAAACAAATACACTCACAAGGGAATCTGAATACAAAGTGCTTTTAACTTTACTGGGCTTCTTCCAACCTTTGAGGGTGCTTATTTCAACAGGCCCCTTTTTCTACTGTATCATTCTCACTGATAGTCCCGAAATGTGTGTTAAAACACAGAGGAACAACTCCCTTTCTTTTGCAGCCATGTTTCAACAATTAACTAAATATTTAACTCATCACACAATAACAAGAACAAAAACAATTGGTATAGAACCACTGAAAAACAATCGCTAAACTATGTGTTAGCAAATAGCTCTACCAGGAGTGGCAGAAAGCCAGCAGAGCGCCAGAGAGCAGCCACCCTAACCACGCACATCCGCATGCGGTGGGCATCGTTCCCGGGTTTTAAAGTTAATAGCGAACACTGCTGAGTGCCACAAGGTGAATTCTGAATTGACTGACCCAGGTGATGCTACTTCATCATGGAGTGGGAACTTGTTTTGATGGTATATCTTCCACGTTCCCAGATTCTCCAGATCCTCAAACAATTGATATTTCTTCATTAAAAAAACAAAAAATATTCTACTCGTCACCACGCATTGTATCCATAATCATACTGGACTTTTCACTTCTTAGATCCTCAAAGAAATGTCGTTGCCCAGCACATCAGTGTGAAGAGCATAGACGGTTCTTCAGACACATTCCGTATGGTACCTTTTCTGGGCATCTTTGTGTCATTCTGTGGCTCTCAGTTTTGGGAATGGCTTGTGGAGAATGTGACATGATAAATGTAAAGACACTAAAATAAAATATGAACATGGTACCGTTTAAATGAGGCATTCTTATTACCTGCCATCTCTTGATCCTATTTGCACTGCACACTGGGAAATCCCTGTCCACCCTGAGCTGTCATTGTGCCCACACTTAGAATTGTTAAGGTGTTAGGGACGGCAAGCCCACGCGGATGCAGTAGCTAAGATTCACAAGCCTCATCTATCTCGGAATGTCCTAAGGCAACCCCGAAATTGAATGATTTGATGGGTTTTCAGTATCAAAAACCATGGAGGAAAGAGAAAGCATCCTCAGGTAGCTGCAGTCCATACAAAGATTCTATTACCCTAAAATGGTCCACTTGAAAAAAGGCAATATTTTTATATGCCGACCTCAAAGTCCCTGCTCAAAGAATGCTTATAGCGAAGCTGTATTTCCTCTTTGATGGTTTTCTGAAGAGTATATTTAGGCAGAAATTGGTCTTTTCTGGCAGTCACAGCAAGGGCTATCTGTCAATCTACAGGCAAGCTGCTCATCAAGTTCACTCGACAAAAGGTTAGGGCAGCGAGCCCCCACAATAATGTGGAAACAGAAATATTACAAAGTAAAGGCTTATAAAATAATAAAAATTGTACTTACTGCAGATACTTCCCTATGCCTTTGGCAAAATACCTTAAGCATTCCACATACGGCGGGCATTGTCTTTATAAGATGGCACCTCATAAAATGGTATTAAATATCACCAACGGGGCTTCATATTTCATCCAGCAGGGTTTAGGCCAGGCATGTTCTATATCACACATTATTAGAATGACATCTGCTTTGCAAGTTGTGTACCCAGGAGCCTACCCGGATCACTCATTTCAGCCTCATTCTCCAGGCTTCTGTGCCGTCATAATGCCTAATATGTTTAACTCATTTTGAACAGAAGTCTAAAGCCTGCCATGGCCCTCTGGCCAAAACTGTAGCTGTCAGACAACAGAGCCAGCTATCAAACATTCTTC